TTTCCGCCGTATTTGTAATCTTGGGAGTTATTCCCTTTACTTCCTCTAGCTGGGGTTGCGCAACCACAGCGAGATCCTCTACGAAAGACTCTCCAGTCGATCTAGGATTATCGTTTCGCTTAACCTGAGCGATCGATTGTTTCTCTTCTAGATGTTCCCCTCTAGGGATACATCTTTGTCCCAGTCTACCCGACTTATTCGAGTGGTGGACCTTCGGCGCAGCCTGTGTTTCCTCACAGCCGCCGGAACTTTGCTCCGAAGTGTAACCGTTTGGTACACTAAGGTTTTGTGCAGTCGTACTAACGACCGTACCACAAGTGAGGCCATCGCACTCACTCGTAGTACATCCACACGCTTGTGGACGCTCCAAAACGTTCATCAGATGGCCATCTGATGAACAAGCGGCAGGCATCGTTACTGTCCGATGTTGCCAGTTTACTCGTGGTTCGTACCTTCTGAGCCACGGTATTCCAAGGATGACATCAAATTTGTCATCCAAATCCAATACGATAAAGTCATCGTCATATTGGGTATCTTCTAGCGTATAGTGAATCTTCACTATACGCTTCATGACGGTTACGGATGCGCCTGTCGCAAGACGTACCGTCATCCTCGTAGGAGGTGTGTCACATTCACTGAATTTTAAGTGACCATCTTCTAGCGATTGGCGTCGCACAAAATTGTTGGACGCCCCACAATCGACTAGAGCTCGAAGGGACAACTTATTCGTCACTTCGAGTTTCAAGGTAATGAGTGAGATCTCATTACCTAGAGCAGCAACGTACAACGTTTGTGTGTTGGGAGCAACCTTCGTCAAGAGGCCCGCAAATTCTCTTGACGTTGCTGGACCAGTAGGGTGCTCCGCACCTACTGATCCTGTCCGTTTTTTGACGGTCCATCGCGTTGTTGCGTCTTTGCACCAACTGCGGACCCTCGTCCCTGCCCCTTTCTCATGGGTGGACGGTCACTACGCCCAGTGTCGCGAGACACTGGACGAGGGGCACTACACTCGTAAGCGTAGTGTCCTGTCTTTTGACATCTGTTGCATCTCTGCAACTTCTTGTAGCCTGTAGAGCGAGCCTTCTCGCTCTCTACATAACAGAGTTCCATCGGCTCTGGGCCTCCGTTTTCATATCGTCTCGGTTGACGATATGATGTCGAGCTGGCGCGAGCCTGTCTCAGACTGAAGTCTTCCTGCTCCGCAATGGAAATGGCTTGTTCTAGTGAATCTAGTTCAAGTCGGAACAGGTGAGTCTTGACGGGACCATCCACAAGACCCTGCATGAACACCGAAACCAACGTGTGTTCATCCACCGGATTGTAACTTATACAACTCGTAAGATGTCGTATATGTTGAGCGTAAGCGTGCACATCACGCTTACCCTGTTTGAGCTTCAAGAGTTCAGTTCGAGCTCTGAACTCAGCTCTAGGCGGTTCAAACGTTTGTCGGGGCCGCGACTTGAAGACTTCCAACGGCCCAAACGCATATGGGTCGTGCAACTTGAGCCCCAGTGCCCAAGTCTTGGCACGTCCTGCCAGATTTGACTGGGCAAATGCAACTTGCATATCGCCGTCGTCGATGCGACGCGCCCTTATGGCGTCATCCAATTCGACGAAAAATCTAAAGAGGGAGTCCTCTTCGACTCCCCTATACTTTGAGATGTCAATCGTCAAAGTCTCGGGTCGACGCGAGTGCATCGACCCGCCAGCAGCAGCCTGCTGCTGTCTCAACAGTTCAAACTGTTGAGCACCCTGTTCTCTCAGCAACTCTGCTTGTTGAGAACCTTGTTGGTGAAGCAAGGCTACTTTCTCGCGTTCGGCGTCAAGTTCATTTTGAATGAACTTGGCGATAGTAGCATGTTGGGCATCTCTATTGAGAGCCTCTAGCATGACGCTAACAGCATGGATGCCCATGGTTGAACCCATTCGTTCAACCGCATCCCATTCGACGTCGCTCAAATGGGAGTAGCCGTCACGCGTAGCGTGAAAGCTTTGGTCATCTTCATCATCTAACATATTCATGTTGGATGTGAACGTGGTCCTTAGACGGACTACGAAGTGCTACCAGGTGTAACGGGGCACCCTGAAGCTTGTACTGGTGACAGTACAAGCTACTTATTCTGATGACAGAATAAGGCGGTGCCTCGGAACTTCACGTACACTCGTACGTGCAGAGGAAGACGGTAAGAAGAAGCGAGTACTTGATTAAAGTAAAAAGTAGAACTGTATTTATAATAGTTAATGTCTGCAATAAATCACTATTTATCTTCATCTAACTATGTCTAAATACAAATGTGTAAATCAGTTATCTGCTCACCACTCATTGCGTGCGTCTGTCGTGGCGCGTCTTCGTTGGTTGATATAATGGCCTATATCAACCAATTAGGAACTACTCGTAAGTGCAACAGAATATTTGTCCTTATGACAATATTCTGAGAATATAACTCTTAAAGTTACATTCTATTAACAATTTCTTATAAATTGTTATGTAACGATTCACCCCGTTACATTGATAGCCTGATGGTGTGTCTGTGATGGCATAACACAATGCGAATATGCTCGATACAGAAGGGTGAATTGGCTACTCGGTCAGAATTTGCTGAAGCACGAAGCCGATGAGTGACACAAGCGGTCGTTGCCTCGTATGGACGTTGCTGCATTCAGCGGCAGTAACAGAAGTAGCGCGCTTGGTAAAGCACCAGGTGATAATGACGAGGGATTTGCTGTAGCAAAGGTGTGGCCGAGATGCATGGAGTAGATCGAGTTTGTAATACGACCGATAGAAGAATCCCCAAAGTTCTACAGTAACGAAATCACTAATGGCACCATTGACGTAGACCCTTGCCGCACGACCAGCCCATCGAAGCCGGCTAGCACCGACGTCGAATCGACATGCAATCGTGTGGCTGAAATTCTGACGTGCTGACGCCACGCAAACATGCGGCGATGGCGGAGTTCCTGTGTGACAGATGAGTTTCTGGCTTTCTTTTCAGAGGCTCGTCTGCCGTGAGCATACAACGAGAATCGCAGCTTTGTCGGGTTGTGCACAAAGTAAAGTAGTGACTAAACACTTCCAAGCAAAGGCAGTGGTCAGCATCTTCACATAGTCGTGGTTCCCGTCGGACTCACCAGGTTCGTACGCTGCTGCAAATACATGTGGACACGCTGCGTCGTACGTGCGTGGAACCGTGATGAAACCCGGATGGGCTGCCCGTCAACACGATTGACAATGAACAAACGAATGCGACAGCCATTGATCGCGTTCTTCAGGTATAAGTTCTCAGACTAGCAACCGGCCGGTTGTCGTATCGAGTCTCTGTGTAGAAATTGCATATGATGCTTGCTCTCTCTGCTGGATATAAAGAATGCCCGACTTGGGGATTCTTCCAGACGACATCGCCTTTTGTCTTGCGAGGAGTGGCTCTGTGTGATCTCACAACTGCTTTTGCCTCCTAGCACACAAGCACAACCAACAACCCACGAACTTCCAATTCCCTGCCATCAAGATGCCGCCGGCGATTCTGCGCTTGACGGTGTTCTCCACCATGTTGCTCTCGTCTGCAAACGCTGCGCTACGTCTGGAGAACAGCGCACGACTTCTTCAAGCCGAGTCGAGCTCAGGTTGGCCAACTCTTTCCATCGCCGTCAAGCCGAGTGTCGTTGGACATCCTAATTGCAGGTACACTATGTCGGCCGTGCCAGTTCTTTCGGAAGGCGGGACGAAGGTACTCTACGATGTCTCCACCAGTTTCGACCATCGTACAGCGTCTTGTATCGACAAGTCGGTCGCCTCCTACAAACAGACGAATGGGTACGCTCTTGTCAATTTGTTGCCGCTAGCGCAAAAGAATTTTGTGTGTTTGGACTCGGAGTCAGGCCGACACATGATTCCGCGGATCAACTTTATGCTCCAGGAAGTCGCGGGGATCGACGATGGTGATGCTGTGATCAGTGCTTCCACCTGCAAGAAACAGTACACCATCACGCTCAGTGAGGAAGACTACGCTGTGTGTATAACGAAGCCTGGCGCCGAGATGACCATCAGTGGAGAGGGCATGCTACTTACCGTGACGTACGCAGGCAACTCAAAAGTGACTTCTAACGGCGGTGAAACCACTGGGTGTCGGCGAGTGTCGGTGCCGTTTGAAGTGAAGGAAGCTCTTGGCAAATCGTTGCTGGCTCCTGGCCATTGAACGTAGCCGTTGCTCAAGAGAGCGAGAAGTCTGTTTGCCAGCTACTGGTAGTTCGCATCAATCGACTTTTCTTTGGCTGCGTGCGACTTACTTCCGAAGTGAGTCGGCAGAAGCAGTACGAACGTAGTGCATTGGTAATACCAATCGTGGATGTGTGAAGTTTCAATTGTCGTCTTGTCTTACGTTATGCATGAAAGGGATTAGAGTGTTTTGCTTGGCCTGAGAGAGGGGTGTGACAGGGGTACAGGTTGTTGCATGATACTGAGAAGCCCTCACTGTCTTCATCTGACTTGGTGCAGGCGTCGCGTGTCTCCTTGACGTCCGCCACTTTGACCCGGAAACGTCTCCTTCGTAACGCAGCTCAGAACTCATAGTCCAGTCGATGAGTCTCTGCGCCATGTTCTCGAACGTCACGATAGAAAGGATGGTTTCGTTGTCTACACGCTGCATCTGAGCGAGGATTCGCTTTGTCTTGGCATCCGTCTGCACTTCGTTGAAGTGCAGTGAGAGAGAGTAAGCCGCTTGAAGGCGAAGATCTTCAATTGACGCTTACTGCGCGACCTTCCGGCAAGCGCCGCGACACACAAGCTACGGCCAACGTATTCTCCTGCTGGTAAGTCGTCATTATGTTACTAGCTCGAAGGTCGAAGAGATGAAGGGACTGCGGGGGTCGGACACGGCAGACAAGACGCCAAGGCCGTGCAACAGGGGCACGGATGGGACCGATTGGCATGGTGATCCAACGAGGTGTGTGCTGTTCTTACCACGTCCGACTCGAACACGGACATGTATCGCCTGGTCTACATTCTAGCATCGCTCGGGAGCTTCTCTTTTTGCAGCCGCGTCGTCGTCGATGAGCCAGTAAACAAACCTGTCCATGGGCTTGACGTTCACGGTAGGAAGCAGTGGCATCCGTTCCTCAATGGCGATCATTTGCAGCATCAGATCGGTTTTGCTAGCTCCAGTAGCGACGAATGCAATCACCAAAGCAGAGATGTGTCATCAATAGGTTGTTTACATTCCGGTGACTAGAATTGAGGCACGTACATTGACGGCATTATTTAAGACTGATTGAGTTAACATGATGCGCCGCAACGGCGGCTTTGGTGAGTCCTCTTAGGACGTCACGAGCAGTGTCTTCTCCTCCAGGAGCGGATAGCCGGGGGAAGAGCGAACGCAGTGGCCATCCGGACCCATGCCCAACAAGATCAGATGAAAGCAAGGTAGCTGCAGCCAGCAGCACCGTTCGAGTCCTTCTACGACAACAGAAGAAGCACGAGAAGAAGCAGACGAAGGAGAGTACAAGCACATCTTTGCCGCATACTGCAGCCAACCTCTTAGTATAGTCTTCGGCCATGGCTTTTGGGTTTAGCGTGGCACCGATGGCAAAGACTGACTCGCAGGAACAGCAGTCTGCGTGTCAAAGCGTACCGAGAGCAGTTACTATTGCTATTCTAACAGCCAAACGAACGCAAAGAGTGAGGCCGAGCGGCTGTCACATCGTCCAAAAGCGCCGCTTTGTACGCCTTGTAGTTGCTGTAGTCGTGGTCCAGTGTGAGCGAGTGAGAAGGTGAGGCATATTGAGGTAGGCGCAAGACCCGCTGTATCCTGTCGCCCGGAAGCCAGTACCGTGGCTACTACTACTACATATACGAGGTGATACTGCTTTAGATTGACCATTGTTGTCGCCAACCTTTTACGTGATACTGATCACGCCGGGTAAATGTTAACCACATATATTGCTGTTGTAGTTGATGATGATGCCAGGTCCATAGAAAGATGCAAGATCATAAAAGAGGAAACAATGCATGTAAATGGTAGTGGTTAACGCGTCGACATGTTTCTCAGTTCACAACTATCATCAAAGTACGCAAGTACTGGTAGTACAACCAGCAGCGAAGAGTCGACTGCTGAGTTGGAGGACTTCGGCGCGCACAAAGCTAGAGAGCGGACGCGTCGTCAACCAGAGAAAAGATTATGACTCTTAATGGGGAAAAAGAAGATGACGGCATCTTCCCACCGACGAGAAACCTCGCTACCAAGTTTGGTGACGTAAGACCGTTTCAGACCCCTGCCGAAAACAAAGGGCCTTCACTTTCATCTTCGTCATCAAAGCGACCAAAACTGATGACTCAATATGTAATGGGCACCCTTTGTTTGGGTGCCACGAAACTTCACGTACACTCGTACGTGCAGAGGAAGCTAATCTACTTGAACGACTCGGTCAAGTAAAGGTCAAAACAGAACTGTATTTAATATAGCTAGGCTATCAGTACAGCTTTAATCTTTATCTAACTATATTAAAGTACGCCGTCGTTTGACGACAACCTGCTCACCACTCATTGCGCGCGTCTAGCAGCGATTGGTGGCAATCGATGGTTGATACGTCTTTTATCAATCAATCTTTGAGCAGCGCATGAATATTATCCTACAAGGGATGATATTCCTTTAATATTGACCATCTCGGATAATATTGGTAGAATATTGTCATGCTAGACAATATTCCTATTGACACCGTTTGGTGTCAATGTCATGTAACGGGCTACCCCGTTACATCACCCCCCCTTAACCATCAATCACCCGTTGATTGAAAATAGAATTGATCGGTAACACGGTGATCAATGTTAGGTCACTCCGGGAAAGGGAAGCACTTGTTGGTCGAATTCCAACTCATTTGCAAATTCATCACACGGTATCAAAGTCTCTGCGGTGCGTTGCTCAAGCTATTAGGGAGGCAGCTGCGCGCATGCGTGCAGCCCAAGAAATTACTTCTCAAGCCTCAGCAGCAAGTGATCATTCGCCTGCTGTTGCAAGTGAGCAACATGCAGTGCCTGTTGCTACTTTTACACGTGGTGAGTCACCACGTGCTACAGATGCATCCGCTGCGTCTGCAGCAGATGCTGCGACTCACAATTTGGATGAGCCTAAAACAGAGCTCATCTATTCTGGCGAGTCGGACGCATCGTTCGAGTCGAGGGCGGCGCCTTCTGCCTCCGGATGACCCGGAGCGGACACTGCCAGAGCCAGTCAACGTGGCGGCATCATGCTCGAGATCTTTGGATCGAGCGATTCTTCTGACAAATCTGCGCCTCACGCAAGTCCATCTGACACCAGGACGCGTGGTGATGGTAGTGACACACCTATACGTCACCAAAATAGAAGCAGCTCGAGAGATTGAGCTGATACTGGTGTGAGTGCTCATGCTGACACCACACAATCAGTCAGGGACCGCAATGTCCCGCGCCATGCTCCACAAGTAGAGCATTTTATTCCACCATCCAAGGCGTTAGATTGAGTGACCGGTATGACCAATGAACGGGATCGAATCTCGCTGTCTGACTGCAGGAGAAACTGTCCTTTTAATTCCAGCACGGAAACTATCCATGCTGGGGAAGAATTCTTCACCGATGTGTTTTTCAAACAAATTCTTGACCGTTGTGTTGTTCAAACATCGGCGGTACAACGACAACGTGGCCAACCGTGGCCGAGACTTTAAGGACTTGGTGCAAGGATGGAATGCCCTCAACCACAACATCGAGTGCATAGGCCGTGAGGCTTGGCTCGCCAAACTTGATGCAGTTTGCATCCGGTTTGAGAAACGCAACCCAGTCGGTGTACGGTACAAGTTGCACCGGCTGTCAAGAGAGGCAGGATTACCCTATCTCTCGTGGGGTGATTTGTGTCCAGGTTGCCTGGACAACTCGAACCGTGCCCCTAGGGAGGCCTGCCTCCCTAATGATCCCTACTGGAGGGCACGCATCTCTTCTGAGATGACCGAAGGGATTGATACTTTGCAATCCCTGTACTCGCGTTCGGGGAGGTCGTTTTCTGACGGCCCTTCTTCAAACGCAGCAGGTGGGTCTCGTCGTACTGCTCGACGAAACCAAGGACATCAACAATCAGCTGGGCACGAGTCTCCCAGCTGTCCTAGGCCGATGCAAAAGCCATTCACGTCGCGGTGGTTAAAAATACGCTTCACTAGGAAGCATTGGCCACCGCTTGAGTCTACCAAAGGATGTGGTGGTGGCGGGAACACCTGATCCGGCTCGAGGGTCGGATCAACTTGATGTTCAAGAGCTGAACCGTCTAACGGAACAGTTGCAAGATGACCTGGCTCATGAACGGTCTCGGCGCTATGAGCTCCATGACCTTGTAAAGGATAGTTACATTTCCTTAGCGCACGATCGCTCGAGCGATTGTGCCACGCTTGCTTTCGCACAACTTAAGAACGAACGTTCGACTCTTTCTCTTCGTGACGAGATGGCTGCAGCTCGTCAAGGCATCGCTCAACTTCGTGAGCAGGTCGCTTCGCTAGTCGACCAGACTGGCTCGTTGAAACGGGACCACTCGAAGGTGGTCTCAGCCCTCGACCGCGGAGGTGTTCTTCGCATCTCGAAACGGAATCGTACTGTTATTACGGGCGGAGAAGCTCAACGTAAAACGTAGGATGCGTACGCATCTTACGGGGGTGTTCAATCGTGTATGCGTTGCTCATTCGGCGCAACACACGAAATGGACCAATATACTTGTGTAGTAATTTACTGCCCAAGTTTGACAATGCGTGTTTCGGTAGCTTTACTGTAGACAGTAAAACTAAGTCTCCTTCGTCAAATGAAAGAGCATTTGCTCTTCCATGTTTGTCGGCGTTTCATTACTGCTTGTCTATTGCATCTGCAATAGAGTCTTGAACGAAGCGGACAACCCGCTTCGCGAGTCAACTGAAGTTCCTCTGCTGATTCATCCATGTCAACGGCAGTGCGCTTCGTGTGCACTGCTGAAAGAACGTTGACTTCATCAGTGTGGGGCGTCATCGTCCTCACTTTGGCAGTCATTGGCGATGCTGAATATTCCAGCATCGTCGTCATCATCATCATCGATATCGATCGCATCGTTATCGGTCATCCATCACGTCGACACCATTGTCGACGGGTGATGAGCAAGAATTAGATCGGGTTTTGTTCGAGCGAGTCCACCCCCCCAAACTAGAGTCACACTCTAAGAAGGCGGGTAAACGTGGATGGCGTAGGCTATTCACGAAGAATGGGGTATGCTTTGAGACGCATGCACCTAATTGTGTATGGCGAATTTCGCATCGGCAAGAACTCTCCAACTCGTAAACGAGTGGACATACCCTCGAAGTATCTCTTCGAGGACGCGGTTGACGAGTTCCATCCGACCATCTGTTTCTGGATGGTCAGAAGTTGGCATCTTCAACCGAGTTCCAAGGGAACGGAACACGGATTGCCAATATTCCGCTGTGAAGCGGGGGTCCCTGTCAGACACGAGTTCACGGGATAACCCGTGAAGGCGGAAGATTGTATTAACACAGACACGAGCACAGCCCTGGACTGTGATCGACTCCGGTACAGCAACAAGATGTACCATCTTGCTGAATCGATCAACAAACACAAGAATACCAGTATTCTTGTGAGCGTCTTTGGGAAACCAAAAGACGAAGTCCATCAATACGGACTGCCAACACTCTGCCGGGATCGGTAGAGGCTGAAAGGGTGCACGGGATGAAGGACTAGGCTTCACCCGCAGGCAAACTTTGCAAGCGCGAATGTATTTGCGCACAAAATTGCATTGGCGGGGCCAGTAGAAGTCACGACTTACCGTGAGGCAAGTCTTTTCTCTACCGTGATGCCCACTTGTTTGGGGCATCGTGACACCCATACATGATGCCCAATCGCAAATCATTATGAGCCGGAACGACGACACGAGGTGTGTCACCGTTGACTGCTGTATAGTACATCAGTCCATCACGAACCGAATACCGTTCGGTTGAAGAGCGGTATTGAGACGACAAACTTTTCAAAGTATGACTGCATGGATTGGACACGTAATACATCAATCGCAGAAGGGACTCATCTTCTGTGTATGCTTTTCGCACGTCGTCGAGCAGATTCGACGACGGAACACTCACTGTTAGTGTTGCTACAGTGGGATCACCCCTACTGTGGTGTTGAGCAGTCGGTTCGAAATCGGGCTGACGCGAAAGAGCATCAGCGACGACATTAAGTCGTCCGGGTTTATACATGACGGAGAAGTTGTACTCCGCGAAGAAAGAAAGCCACCTCGCCATTCGTTGCAAGAGGTGTGGACTGTTTACGGCCGTGCGTAACGACGCATGGTCGGTGTAAACGATGAAGGGCCTTTCTCCTAAGAGATATACCAGAAACTTGGCCAGTGCACATTTCATGGCAAGGAGCTCCTTGTCATGCACGGGGTAATTAACCTCAGCTGCTTGCAGCTGACGCGATTGATAACAGACGACGCGCTCAACGCCGTCTGAGTCGTACTGCATTAAC